TATACCCCTAACTATCTTAATAAATTTATCAATTAGGGTTTTGCTCTCTATTATCTCTTTCTATAAAATCTAAAAATACATATTTGATGATTTAAAGAGATTCTAAACATGAATAGACATGTAATCGTCACATAATACCAAAGACGGTTGGAAGAGAAATCAAAGAGTCGTCGTCTTTGAGAAGATGAGCTGAGCGGTGAGAGGACTATCCTAGGAGGACCTCACGGTGAAGGAGTGAGAGGAAGTGTTGAGTTAGGTGTCAGAGGCTATGAGAGGCGACAGGAGCATAATGCTGAAAATCGCGGGAGGCGATGGAATGCAGTGGTTAAAGGTCGGGTTTAATTTTAAAAAATAAACCCCAATCGCTTTTAAATAGCAGTCAAAAGGCGGATTTTGCACGCAATCGCCCGCTATTTACCGTTAGGACGCGCTATTGGCCGCTTTTGCGAACNTGGCTGCTTTTACAAACGGAAAGCGCATATTCCGTAATATGCCATAGCTATTGAGCGATAGCGTAGCGGGAAGGAACCACTAACGCTATTAGTGTCGCTATTGCGGGGCTATTTACCGCTATTTATAACAGTGGATAGGCCTTATTGCATCTTTCGCGAACCATCGTAAACTCTTTTCCAACACAGGCAGACTGTGGAACATAGCAAGTGAAGAAACTTCTTTGTGCTTGTCAGTTTTGTTTCAACATAGAGTTAAATAAATGAATTTTATTTAGCAAAAATACCTATAGAAAACTTCTGATTTTCTAAAATCATCAAAACGCAGTGATATATGGATGCACAAATTATGTTTTCAGACTAAATTAGAGAACAACTATTTTCTTGCATCCTCTTGTTCAAGTGTTATTGTGTCCAACACTAAACTAGGATACTTAAGACCTATCCATGTATATGAAAGTGAAACTCGAATGACTGGATTTAACATTGCACTTATCAAATCCATGAGAAATCTTGGACAGTAACTTGCGCATTAGAGGACTTGTACCGTGACTCACGGGGTGGGTGTTAATGGCTAACTTAAGTTCAAATAACTGACAAACGAACCCCAATAACTCTTTTAGTCTAAGAAATATTATCGAAAATATGAACATCTAATAATTTTGATTAGAATAGGTTCATTCATCCATGAGCACAATGAACATATTTCAACAGATACTCATAAAGCATGAAGCAATAAAAGAATAGTCTGGTTGCTAGAATGGAGATAATGCAACAGCATAATAGAAAGAACGGTTTTACATACTATACCTAAGTTCTCTCGTAATTGTACATTAAGCCCTCAAATTTTCATCTCCCTAATTTCGACCCACAAATATATTAAGTTGTCAAGAATAACACCTCCTGGTTAGATTTAATTGTAGTTAGTCAACTTTTTATTGCCATTTGGAACAATAATATATTTGAGACATATGAAGATTTGAGGGCCCAAAATATGACAATTTAATAATTTGGTAGTGTTATTTAAACTAACTAAACAGATTCAGGGTGTAAGTTTCAAATACTTTACAATTAAGAAAAAATTATAAGTCTACTATTATAAAAAATACCCTAAAAGAAAAGAGAAGATTGGAACCTTTGAGAGCAAGAATCCTGCTGATGGGATTCATAAGAGCTGAATCGGCAGTAATCGGCCTCCGCAGCGGTTGCATCGGCATGCTCATGTCGATTATAACTACACTGTTCTGTGGAGATGTCTCCCTCACACAGATATACTTGTCCGATTCCATTGTTACGTGAGTAAAGGTGATAAATTGCTGGTTAATCCCAATACTAGGAAGCTGAAATCAATTCAAAATACTCATTTCAGAATGCAGAATGCAAGCAAAAACAGATAAGCACCCTAATTAATAAAGCCTAGCAAATCAAAACAATCTTCAACCGCTAATAAATCCTAGATCACAACGGGAACAAATCGGGATCACGATCTCCATAGCTGGATCTAAAGAGATCTGATCCATGTTCGACTAATTGGCCATCAAAAACAGCGAATTCTCAAGATCCGCGCTCTTTAAGCAGACTAAACCCTAATTTCCGCTCAAAATCGAGGAAGCGAGAGGAAGAAGGATTGAGGGCGCTCACCGTCAAGGCCTCCTTCATAGCGATCGGAGCGCTGGCCGCCGCCATGGCGACTAGATCGGAGCTCCAACTAGGGTTTCACGAAGAAATTAGGGTTCCTTTAGATCTGAGTGGAACCCTTTCGAGTCTACCGACCGAAAGAGAGAGAAGAGAGAGGAGAGAAAGCGGATCTGAAGGGAACTCTGGATGTATTTAAGAGAGAAGCAAAGTGGGAATTTTATTATTTCTTTTTTTGCCTTTTTTTGCTGGTTTTTTTTTTTTGTAGGGATTAAAACATCATGACATTTTGTTGGCAAATAATGTGAGGTGAATGAGTGAGCTGGAAATTTATCTGCACCTGACTGAGGATTAATATATTTGTGGGGGAAGATCTGATGGAATTAGTTGATCCGACGGCTGATGTCTGTCGTAGCTAATGTGATCATTATAATGGGACCCTGGTGTTATTTACTTATTTACAAGAGGCCCAATGTGAAATTGAGTATAAATCCTATCAGCAGGAGTTTTTCAAAATATTTGGAGTTAATATTAATATATTCCCGTACGCAAAATGCGTATACGATACAATACACATTTGCACGTAATAAAAAGAATGTTACTAATACTATTTGTACTTTAACGCCCTCAAAGTTTCACTCATTGTTAACTTTGATAGTTGTATTAAGTCACATTTATTAGGGGAATTCACGGTATTCATTGCTCGTGTTAGATTGAATGAGGTATAATATGCAATTTAATATTCTACTGGTGATTTTTTATAAATACATTTGGCAGAACCAAATTCATGATTTCTCTAGTTCTCTCGCTACATACACTTTCGTCTTTACATGATCCTATACTTGATCAAAATAAACCAAAGATTTTCATGAGCAAGGCTTCATGAAAAGAGAGGAACATGTTAAAATTATGATTAAACTCCACGTAAAAAATCAATATTGTAGACAAATTTTTTTTCAAATCCATCCAAATAAAAGGGGTTAATGAAGATCATGAAAGACAATTGATTAATAAAAGACGAGCAAACAATTTTACCAACAATGATTATTCCTCTTGCATTGAGAAATAATTTCAAATACACTCCAAGTTAGGTTCATGTGTCATTCTCTCGTATCAACATGAATTTCTTGGCTAGTAGTTGATTGAAAATAGAGCGATCAATTTAAACAAAAGGAGTCACAAACTGTACTCACAGTGCACATGGTTGAGAATAAAAGTATGTTAGATTAATTCAAAAAGTTAGAGTTATCATATTTTGAAGAGGACGAGGCAACAAGGGTTAGATGTGGTGATGGAAAAGAAGAAATTAGTTATTCCAATTTTGTTTTGATTTGGAATGTAGCGGGTGAGGTTGGATTATGTTCTGAGAAATCAGTTGAGACTGAGAGATGTGGAGGTTGTTTTCTAATTGAAATTTTTTAATTATTATTATTTATTTATTTATTTATTTATTTTTGCTTTTTCAAGGTTGACCCTCACAAAAAAGTTTGAACCCTACCAATTTGTGTTGACATTTATGAGATTTTTTAAAATCATGACAACTAATGGGTAGAACATCAAAAAGTTATACCAAAAAGGCTAGTTTTCGTTACATATTAGATCACAATAAAGGTAAGTTTAACTTCCAATCAATGACCAATAAGTTCTATCCAATTTTGATCTAATATAATAAAATACTTTCCTCTTTTCTCCCTCCTCACTCACCCCGCCAACCTTCAACCCATATTCACCATCTTCCATTCTCCTTCCTCATGGAGCAGCGGTAGAAGAGAAGAGAGGAATATAGATGGAGGATGAAGGAGCATGGGTAGGAGGATGAAGATGTGATAGAGGAAGAGAGGAGAATAGGTGGAGGAGGAAGGAACATGGATGGAGGAGGGCAGAGATATGATGGTGGAGGAGGATGGTAGATGTGGGGAGCATGAAGAGGGAAAAGGGAGCTAGGTGGAGATGGATTGGGAGTAGTTGGAGTCGGATGAAAATTTATTAGGTGTCAAATTTTTTGAATGTAAGTCAATTTAAGCTAGTTACTAATGATAATTTATATTTTGTAGGTCAAGTGAAAGCCATACGGAACTTTTTTACCTCGTCTATCATTGATTTGCATGGAGGGACATGGTATATAGAGAGCCATAGTTCCTCTCATTTGCTTTGAAATTATTGAAATGCACGTGCCGGGTCACGTGCTTAGGTAGTTTGGTTTCGCACAACACGCTCCACAATTTGTAGAAAGAATAGAAAGAAAGGCGTCCAAGGGTAGGCATCAGATCGACTGGCCACTTGTGCATAATCAGTACATTGCTAGATGGAATGAGCGACATTTGAGCATCGTCCAACAAATTTATCCTTCGATGGAGGAAATCGATTATATAAGATGGTATTGGGGAATTCTTAGAAGATGAATAATCGCTCAAACCACACCTCCAGTCGACAAAATCGACATATGTTCCCAACAAGCAAGATATGTACCAAGGGGTGTAGATGAAAAAGAATGGGTAACTAAAATGCGTAAATTTAATTTTTTTTTAATCCACTAGCTTTCTATATCTAAATCTAAATATATAATTATATCTTTTTACGTGATTGCAGATAGACGCTATGGATGAGATAGAGGGGATTGCAAATGAATGCATAGCTACCGCCTGAGGAGATTCAGTACATGCATTGACATTGCAGGGGATAGTGGGGGAGGGTTCATAAAGCTCTTTATTGAACTCATGAGGATCGACATGATGGTCGCGAGCAGATGACACATGAGGAGAGGGTATATGCGCGCCGACGAAGACGAGGTGAATCTTGCTCGCACGACAATGAAGCTGGTCCATCACCGCCCCACACACAACCGGAGAGTGAGCACGTGCAAGCTCAAATCAAAGGAGGATGTCGACGATCGGAGCAGGTACGAAGAGAGAGACAACGAGGGCGGGACGAACTTTTAGGTTTCATGTGATAGTTTATTAGTTTTTTTGTTTAAACTAAATTTGTCGTATGGATAGACTTGATATATTTGGATTTGTTAACTATTTTGTCGTATTGGATATGTATATGACGTAGCTATTATGTTGTGATGTTGTGGATTCATTAGATATGTTTTTATCCAGTGTTTATTTCTTAATATTTATAAGTATATAAATATTATATTGTATAACAATTATATGAAGTGGATGTTATATTTTTATAGCCCAAATAGGTCGCCAAACAATGTATATGAGGCGATATACCCCCGTGCATGTTCTGTGGACGTTTAAGGTGTACCCAATTCTCTGCTTAACACAATAGTCCCGTGCGTTTTGTATGGGGGTTCAGAAAACCCACAGAACTAGTAGTTCTGTGGGTTTTCTGTTCTGTGGGTTCTCTGAGCTCACATGGGCAAATTTTGAAAACAGACCCCTTTGCAAAAATATTCACAAAAAAGACCCGTTTTGAAAATATTCGCAAAAAATAACTTAGTTTCAGACCTGAGGCTGAAACTAGGTCGTTTTTTGTGAAAAAAGTTTCCAAACTTCACGGGAGTTGAACTCTCGTGAAGTTTTTTACATAACAAAACTTCACGAGAGTTTACCTCCCGTGAAGTTTGGGAACTTTTTTTTCCCAAAAACCGACGCAGTTCCAGCCCACTAAAACCGGATCGTTTTTTGAAAATAAAGTAGAAACGGGTCTTTTTTTGGGAATATTTTTGCAAAGGGGTCTGTTTTCAAAATTTGTCTGAGCTCACATTTGTGGCCAATTACTGGCCACTAAACATACGAGACTAGTTCTGTATATTTCAGAAGCTCCCTTTTTTGCTAATTATTTAGCAAAAATGCCTCTTTTGAAAAAAAAACTCCTTCCGGAATTGAACACAAAATCGTCAGAGCATATCCAAAACCTTCTAACATCCCAATCAACCTCCGTGGGTGGATGTGAACTAATTAAACTATTAGATCCGTCATTGAATTCAGTCTTAATTGACTAACCCCATGAATATTTAGCAAAAAAAACTCCGTCGGTTTTGCTAATTATTTAGCAAAAAATGACTCTTAAAAAAAAACTCCTTCCGGAATTAAACTCAAAACTGTGAGAGCCTATCGAAACCTTCTAACCATCCCAATCAACCTCTGTGGGTGGATGTGAACCAATTAAACTCGTAGATCCGTCATTGAATTCAGTCCTAATTAACTAACACCATAAATATTAAAATTTACCCGAAAAATTACCCTTTGAAGAAATTTTTATTTTAAGCCCATTCCAACTTTTATTTTTAAAAACTGACCACTCCCATTTTAATTAAAAAAATCGACTCATTTTGTGGTCACATCAATTTTTTTAATCTCGCCTATAAATAATTGGGATTCCCAACCCCGACTATTTAGCTATTGTTTAATAACACACTAATTTAGTTTATACAATAGCTAAACAGTCGGGGTTGACAACCCCGACTATTTAGAGGCGAGATTAAAAAAATTTTCGTGGCCACGATTCTGACGTGGCCACGAAATGGGTCGATTTTTATAATTACAATGGGAGCGGATCGAATTTTAAAAATAAAAGTTGAAATGGGTTTAAAATGAAAATTTCTTCATTACCCTTTCTAATTGACCCTTAACGAGAATCGGGTCGGATTTGGATCCACTTATCGGGTTAGGGAGCGCACGGCATCCCGCTTCTAGCAAATGCATCTCCTTCACTCTTCTTTGTAACCCTCTTCATAGTTCAAAGCTCTCTCCAGCGAGAAAAAGGGCAAAAAGGGGGAAAAAATGGCCCTTTGGAATCAAATCCGACGCTCTGGACTCCAACGACTCGTTCAAACCCATCAAAACCCTAGCTTTATCTCCGCCCCTGTGAGATCCTTCGCGGTTCCTGCTCATGTACTGTCAATTCTCATTATCAAGATTATTTCTTTATTCTGATTTAGGTATGATTACCTCGTTTTGTTTTCCTGTGCATTTGAATTTGATTGATATTTCAGGTGAAGGCTAAGCAAATCGAAGAACCGAGCGGACCGAGGCTCAATGGGGATATTACTGCTCAATACGTTCGACTAGTCACTGAGCAAGGTGCGAGCTTTTTCAATTGATTGTATACTTACCATTAATTTCCGTGTTTTCAGTTAATTGGCAACTTATAGATATCCTAATTTTGGGATCACCCAAATTTATAAATCATCTAGTTTGTTTGGTTTATAAGACATAATTGAGGTTGAAAAGATGTAATTGGAAGGAGAAAGGCAAAATTTTCATCGAGTGTTTGCATCTGTAATATGCAACAGCTTGATTGAGATTCATAAGAAAATTGAAGAAAGAGATATCTTTTTTTATTTTTGGGAGAAGGCCCGAGCTGGTTTATTTACGAAAATGAGAATACAAAAGGATGGAGAGGATAGAAATAAAGTAGAAATTTGCATGGAGCCATCTGCTTCTATTTAACAACAAATGGGCAAGCGACATCTCCACTAAATGGGATCCTTCTAATATCTTAATCAGTACAACCATTTGAGTTGGTAACATGCTCATTGCCATCTTTTAAAACAAGCAAACAAGTTGCAAGGACCTCACAGTCCTATTTGTTTCTTCTATTGAAATCATTGCGCAGGAAGAGAAGTACCTATAGTGGAAGTGTTATAGCTAAAACCATGATACGGGTGTATCTTCTCTTCGGAAAAAGCGATCCTCATGGGAGCTTGATGATATGTGATTCTCATGATATCTTGAGAATAGTGGTGTGAAGCGACACGGCGGAGCACAGGATGGAGCGTGGAGCGAGGCGAAGAATCAAAGAATCGAAGCCTCAGTTTTCAGCCTTATGAGTCGACTCATGTGTATGTTTGAGTCGACTCAAGAAATCAAGCCCTGTTAGCAAAACGTCTCTGACCAGTCGACTCATCAGTTATGAGTCGACTCATATGAGGTCATGAGTCGACTCATAACTGTTCATGAGTCGACTCATCGGAGCTTTCCAGATTCGTTAAGGATTCTGTTTACGTGTTTTCCTGTTTGGATTTGGTCTGGTTATTTACCAGATTGCCACCACGTTGTAAACCCTATAAATAGGGACTGTTTAGGGTTCTAAACAGAGGGGGTGAGAGGCCAAGATGTAGATCTAAAGGGTTTTAGGTCTAAGTGAGATCCTAATCAAAAGGATTAGGGTTTAGATTGTGAGGATCTATCAGATCTTAGATCAGAGAGAAATTCTAATCATTGTATTAGGGTTTAGAGAGGATTGAGAGGTTGTTCTCGATTCTAGTGAGATTGTGAGGGAGAGATTTGTAATAATTGATTCTTCATAATCTAGAGAAGGTATTTTTCTTCGTCATACTGAATTGTTCTTGTGTTTTAGTTGTCTTCTTCTCAACCCACCTTTTGGTTGTTTTAGTTGTCTTCTTCTCAACCCACCTTTTGGTAATTCCGCGACCAAAGGGTGCTCGCACGACGACTCGTATCAAACCAAGAAGGATCTCAGGATTGTAATTCTCATGGAAATGAAATGGTCTCAAGCATTCTGTCACCTGAATGCTTAGTAGGCAACAATTTGAGCTCCCTAGGCATTTAGGCAGTCAGTCAATTTTCTTCTGAATATTTTATACTAACCGGTTGATAATTAAAATGAATATTGTACAGTTCTTGTGTTGGCAGTGCTTAGTAGCACTTGGATTGAGCTTAGAAATTTCATGGCTATTCTCTCGATTCTCACCTATTGCAGATCACTTGAGCATCCTGTTAAGTATGCAAATCCTCTTCTTTTAATTGTACTAAGAGAGTATAAAGGTATCGTGCAGTTTTATTTATTTATTTATGGAGTATCTATAAAATTACAATAGATTTACATACTCTGAGTCCTACTCGGACATCATTTTTGAATACCGTAAGTTATATGTCAACGAAAGAGGGGATAAAAAAGCGAGAGAAGAAAGGTGAAGCCTTTTCTGTTGGATTTCCTTGCCATGATTAATTGCCAGTGGGACCACTGTCATAGGGATAGTAATTCCTTTTTGTTTCTCTTTTACCTCCTTATTTATCTTTCCATTCCCTATCTTCTTTAAAAAATTTCCCTTTCTTTTCTCCTTGTTCTTCTCTTAAGCTCGCATGCTTCTTTCTTTCGATCTTCATCTTTCTCTCACTCGTATTATTCTTTAGCTTCTTTCCATCTCTGCTCTTTTTTTTCTTCAGATTCTTCCTGTTCACCTACATTGGTCAATAGATCCTTTGCTTGCTAGTAGGTCCAACTTTAGGCAGAGTCTAGCAATGTCAAATTTGGATAGTTAACCGTTTTATGTATTTGTGTATTATCATTTCATACACTTACTTAAATTTTGTATTTTCGTAAAAAATGCTTATTCATTATGAAATTTATAGGGCATCTATTTTCAAGAAATTCATTGTCTCATTATCTGTGTAATTTTTACATGATATTCAAAGCTATACAGGTTAAATACTCTACTAGTATTGTAATAAGTTGTTCATTTCAACTTAGTAAAAAATTACATTAAAAAGGTTGAAGTGTCCGACCCTGTGTATGCAGCTTAGTTACTTTAGGTACCACTTGGATGTTAGAATTTCTCAGTACCTAGGACCTCCTAGCTGACTTGAAATTGTTGTTTCTATACCATCAACTTGTGGACCTGTTAAGTATTTCAAGTTTCTGATCATTACGCAACTATAATGAATTTTGTCCACTGGTATATCTAACAAGTTGATTTATATTGTAATCATAAACAACTGTGCTAAACAAACTATTTCATCTAATACAAAGACGAGGCTGATAAATAACAGATGTATAGTTTTCTCACCAAGTTCTTTCTTTTGATTTATTTTTTTCTCAGTGAGGCTTCTTGTATACTGACGTTTGGTAAAGACCAACAAATGAATGCTCATCTGAAAAGTGTATTGTTCTCCAAACATATGAAAGGTTTCTTGATTGAGGCGATTGACATTTCTTAATTGATTTTTTCCTCATTTTAAAATTTAAAATCGACACTGGGAATTGGGGTTAGAAGCTTTTACAGGGTGCTTAGTCTTGTTCGTGGTTCAAATTCGATTGGCACAGTCTACAACCTAATCTCCAAAAAAACGTCTAATTTGTGGATTACATGAGCTGCTTTTAGTTATGATCTTATTTTTATTACATGCTTCTTTTCTCGGTTATTGTTAATTACTCATTTAAAAACTCTTTGCAGGACATGGTGTTGTGTCAAGGCGGGAGGCACTTGATCGTGCAAAACAGCTGAACCTTGATTTAGTTGAGGTAAAACTTTACCATTATTTTGTACAATTATCCAATAGAACTTGCAAGAACTAGTAAATTTTCAAAATTTAGTCAGGAGCATTATTGCATTCCTTGTGACAAATAGTGATATGCAAGTTTAATAGATGAATTTTCTCCTTAATATGGTAGAGGTGGACTTTGTCCACTATAGTATTCTGAACAAAAACGGTGCATATAAAAGACTTTGTAAGAACCAGATATTCTCTAAATTTACTGAAGAGCAGTTGTAGTCCTTGTGACAGCATGGTGACATGCAAGTTTAAACTTTCTTTCTTCCTGGGGGAGAAGTTGAGATTTATCTACCTTATTTTCTAAATATTAACACTGATGCTGCTTTATTGGAGCTAAATAAGAACAGTAAAATAATTTGTATGATCCATTAGATTCTCTAAATTTACTGAAGAGCAGCTACGGCAATCCATGTGACGAGATGGTGACAATGACATGCAAGTTTATAAATGAAATTTCCCCTTACCACGGGAGAAGTTGGGGTTTGTCCACTTATTTTCTAAACAATAACGCTGATGTGCTACCTTTTTGGAGCTAAATGAGAACAGTGCATTTAAAGAATTATTAAGCATCAGTAGATTCTCTACATTTACTGGAGAGCAGTTATGGCAATCCTTCTGATGGAACACTGGCTTGCAAGTTTATTAAATGAACTTTCGTCCTTCGTAAGAAGTTGGGATTTATCCACCATATTTTTCCTAACCAGAACAATGATACGCTTCTTCTTTGAAGCCAATTTTTTATACGTGGTTATTTAGGATTAAAAATCTAGTCATTTAGTTGGACTTATATGCTAATTGAGTTTATTGAATGAATTGAATGATGAACCATCAAAGTATAGGCATAATAATGTTCGATTCCAAATGATAATCTCCACACACACGAGTATGGACCTTTAAAGTATAAGAATGTTCTGCTATTTCTTGAGGGACACTGTTCATGTTTGCTTTAAAAAAATAATGTCAATGATTAAAAATTATTTCGTGTAGTCATATTTATAAATTGTATTTTATATTGGTCCCTAATAAACTTCATATTTTGACATTAATCTCTCACATGGCCAGTACTTCAATACTAGTCTCCAGTAATGTGAGGCTCCACAAAAATAAATAAATAAATAATAAAAAATAACAAAATAGAAACAAATAAAAACACACATGCGCTCACACACACTACACAGTAGACACTACACAATATATTTCTGTGGCCCTGCTGTCTTTTCTTTTTTGAAATCTCAATGAATGAAATATTAGATGGGAGTAAATCAGATAATATAAGTTACTCGTTACCATTGATTTGTATGTCCAACTGTTCTGGCGCCACATGTATCCTCATCAATGTTCATCACTTGTAAAAGTGTACTTTGTTCTTCAAAATAATCTATGTGGATCAACTATGTTATATTCTCTTATGCAAATAATAATCCAGTTAGTCCAGTGTATATGATTATGAATGTTAATATTTGGAAAAGCGTGCATATATAGCTGCATTCTAATGTCTGTATTTTAAAGAATTGTTCACGTGTTCTGTCAGTCTCAAAGTTCCAACGCTATTTTCATTGCAATTCATAGGGAAACCTCCACTATATGTCAGGACGACAGGATATACATGCCTTTCTTAGCCTTTACTTGATTAATCACTTGTGATTTGGCTGTGATCTCATATTTAAATTGGGTATCAGTCATTGGCATTTTATAATTGGATGGATATCTTACTCTTTACTGTGTCACGGTGCAATATCTGTTTTTTTACTTCGGACCTACTGGTACAATGAACTATTTTGCTCACTCGGGATTCCCAGTTTTCTTGTAGTATGACCTGTAAATTGCTAAGCAACAGTTCTGTTTTAATACAGTAGCGGTAACTTTGCTTCTACCGTGCTTGTTCCTCTGGTGCTGTCACACCTAACAATTTTAATTTCAAGCTCTTGCTCAATGTGTCACAGGTTCAACGGACAGCCGATCCACCAGTTTGCAAGCTCATGGATTTTCACAAGGAGAAGTTCAAACAAGAAGTGAAGGAAAAGGAAAAAGTAAAAACCAAGGTATGCTTGTAACCATCCGTGAGTTCATTTTTCGTGGGAAGTAGATAATGATACCCACTTATCAATTGGCAGCAGCCTTGGTTTCTTCAGTTGCATGTTACTTTTAGAACTCACCAGTTGGTAACTAACTAGCTATTGGCGAAGACATCTGAGCAGGGACGGACCCAATTTTTTTTCCTTATGAGGGCATGTATACAATTATACATATATATTAATAATTTATATAGTATACATTTTGCCAATAGAAACACTGATTTGTACAATTATTGCAAAAGATCACAATAATATTGTTCATTATCATTTTCTTCTCAATACATGATTATTTTCATTTTCAACACAAAAACTAACAAAACACTAAAAAATTTGAACAGTAGTCTTTCATAACTACTTTCTATGTAGTCTTTGTCTTTTGTAGGATTGGGGGGCCCAATTAAAGTTGTATAGGAACGCCTAGATAAATTTATGCATCCCTTAATAACAAATTTAGAATTTTATGGGGGCAAGTGCTCCAAATTTCTCCATATAGATCCGTTCTTGCATCCGAGTTTAGTTGATGTTTAAATATGAATGTTGGGCAGCATGCATGCTGGTTTGGAAGATTACGTTGGTCTAATGAGTTGTGATAGAATTCTTTTTTCGCATTCAGTGATTTCTATTAGCTTTAAGATTGCACCGTAGTTTGATCTAACTGAGTAAGAAAAGATTGTTTATTACTAGAGGTGTTAACACTGATATAGAAAGAACTTAACTACTAAGTAAATAACATGGATAGGCAGTAGGCTCATTTGGAAAATATTAATTATTTATCTCTTTCCATAAGTAATACATCTAAAAACCATTGTTTAGAGAATGTAAAAGATGAATCTCTTTTTATTAAGTAAAGTTGCTAATGTTTTAGGTTTTCAAATAGGAATTGAGTTCTACTCATCAAACCAACCAATTTGCTTTCTCTGTATTAGATTTGACTTCGGCCACTAAATGAATTTTATTCCTGAAATGCTAGCCTATACTTTGGGTAAGGTGTCCTGTTGTGGTAATTCTAACCTAAATAAATTCCCATTTGTTGTGGTCATGTTGTTATCATGCTTATGCTACCTATCTAATTAGTATGAATATGCATTCTTTTGGTTATGAAATATAGATTATATTTCTCTTCTCTTGCTTCGCCAATCAATTTACCCTTCTTGTGCTCGACATTCTATTCTTTCAATTGCCTTTTCCAAGGTAGGATAAGGAAGAAGGGTTGTGTTAGGAAGTCAATAACCAAAATCTTGTCAGAGCTTTATGGAACAAATGCTTACTCAGTTACTTGTTATGTTGTTCCCTCTGCAACAAAAATGTGTTAAATAAGCAAGAGATATTTTCTGTATGCCAGAGGAATGCTCTCAGCAGACTTGAATGAAGAAGACAGATTCATGTAGTTGATCGTAACATATAGTGTTTTTTTTTGGCTGCTTAGCTGGTTATGCATTTTATTTTGGAAGTAGGGTGATTTTATTTGACAGAACTGCAATTTTCGATTTGAATGGCAATATGGTGTAATGAATAATCATATAATCATGATTTTATTGTGGTCGAAACCATGTATGTATTGCCCATTCTGTAGATGGTTTTATGGAAATGTGTTTTCTGTTATTACCTGAGAAAAGTATCAAGTAATTGCTGGAAGTTGGCAGTGACATGTATGGTTACCTTGAGTTTGACCCTAATTGGTTGAATTGTGCCTGTGCATGTTTGTTTGCAATTTGCATGTGATCATGTGCCATATGGTGTATGTACATTGATGCATATACCAATGGCGGCATGTCTGCGTGAGAGAATGGGAGGCAAATGGCAATTGGATGGAAATCGAATTTGACTTGCATGAGTTCTAGTGCATTGACACAGTTTGCTGATTATACTGCATAGGCAAATCATATATTAAGTATTGCAGGAGAAAGAGAACGTGAACAGCAGGAGTGGGAATGGAGAAGGAAAAAAAATCAGTGTACATTATAATTTGTAAATTAGAAAGTTCTTATTTTTATATTATCTTTAAAACTTTACAATTTAGATGTTCAAGCATATTTCTAGAAACAATTGAAAATCATGATGTATTATTTGCCTGTATGTATGTATATGCCTTTAGTGCAATCGGTGTGTAACTGTTATCTGTTATGCAGTCCACACCTCAACTGAAAAATGGGGAGAATAAAGAAGTTCGCTTTACAGCAAAAACTGTAAGTTTTTCTTAGACCTTAATTTCCAAAGTATGTGATTAGGCCTTATAATATCTCCTCTCCATGATGAACATTTTGGTAGTGAACTAAATATGCAAACTTTCTTCTGTTCTTATGTAATACAAAATGTGGTTCCAAGGTATGTTGCTTGATGGTTGGAATGTACCTCTGAGGGTCCTAGTGTTATAAAATTCTAAATTATATTTTAAACACTAAGTGGCTTTAAGAATTCAAGGTTGATTCAGTTATCTTTTGAGGAATCTCTTTTTTTTTCTGACCCCATATATTTTGATACCTAACCTACTAATGAACTTAACCTTTTTTGGAACTTCCCTGGTAAAAAAAATGCAGTCTAAGTAAATCATAATCCTTTTAGTTACCAGCAATTTGATGAATACTTTTTGATCTGCTTATGTTATAAGAAAATTTTATCATGTGTTTGTCATAAGAAATCATGATCTGCTTGTTTGGTTAATTCTTTGTTGGATGTGTTTCTTTCTCAATTTATTGATATTAAGAAGATAATCCCTAATATCTTTGTGAATTTCTTCTAAATGCTGTGATCTTTCTATCTGAAGAGAAGGTTGTAAATGGCTTTGTTGAATTGTATACCACACCATCTTATACCTAACAAGTTGGGTCAGTTCATGCAATTCTGAAACTTCAATCTTTTGATTGTCAGACCATACAGTTCCATGCTTGACATTCTTTATTGTATAAGATAACAGTAGAAATATATCACTTGTTGACATTTTTCAACATTTTTTTCAAATATATAAATTTAGAACTTGTGACCATAATAAATGTCAATGCTTGTACTACATTTCTTCTTATGTCATGATCTTAAATATGATAAGAAACTTAATTGGTTTTTAGACGGAACTTAGTTTAATTCTGTATCCTATTTCCTCACATCTACCCAATGTTAATCATTTTATGCAATCCTGAAAATTAAATATTTGATATTTGACCCAATTTGTTTCAAAATTAAATATTCTATGACATCTGTTAGCCAAGTTGCATGGGTATGGGTGCAGGGCTCGCCGGCTTGGGTACAGGTATGAGACATGACAAATTTGTAAAAGGTAGGGTATGAGGACATGGCTATAAATATGTATGTTATATACATTTATATGTATTAAAATTAATAATTTACGTAAGATTAATTTTGTTTTTTCATTTATATAAGATCAATATATTAGAAATAGATGTGAAATGTACAAATGCATCCAAGAAGTGTATGAGGAGAGTTTTAAATTAAAACATGTAGTATATAATTGAGTATGTGCTTGAGGAAACGTATGCATATATTCAAGAAGTGTCAAGAAGTTTGGGTACGGGTATGTGTACGTGTCTGCTACGGGTACGGCTTCCAAATAGAAGTACCCAGGTAACATAACCTGTTTTGTGTAAATCATTAACATTTTATCTTTAATTGGCTTGACAATTTGCAAACATCCTAATCAAACTCGAGTATGGTTCATGGACTAATATGTAGATAGTTAGTACTTATAAGTCTTCATTTTACAGGTTCTCTTTATGTCCAAATACAATACCTGATGTTGGGACAAGTATCATTTAGAGTGGATATATACAGCTTTTCTATTTATTGGTTTGAACTGCAAAAAACTTTCTCAATATTGTGAAAGGATCAATAAACATTCTCGATGGTGAAATGTCTTTCACTGTACTTTACCTAAATGAGAAACAGATCATTTGCTAAATCTATAAAGGACATCCTAGTAACCTTTATTTTTAACTCCATTTGTGAGTTTATCACAATTTTTATTTTTCAAGCAGATTTGAGCTTGGAAACAATTACTTTGCATCTTAAGCTGTATAATGAATGACCTTAGCACCCTCTTGCAGTAATTTACTACACAAATGTTTTCTCAACAAATTTGTGGGGAGATGAAAACATTATTGATTTTCTTATTCTATTATTGTGTATACAAGGGCATGTTACCGTGCTTCATGTTAGATTTTGGAGCATGAAAAGGTGGATTTCTGAAATAGGCAGTTTTATTTAATATTTTGTAACTTGCTTGACTTGGAAGAGTGTAAGGTGAACACGTCTTTCCAAAACAAAGTTCCTTTTTTGGGGCGGGGAAGTACATTAAAACAATGTTGTTATTTGTCAGTGATCATGATCCATATTTGGCAATATGCTTCTGTCATAGCCTTTTAAATCTTTGATGTGCTTTGATAAGAGCTTTTTGTATAATGAGTGTAAATTTTTTATAATTAATTTGATAGCATCTGCTGTTTCCTTTTTTCTCTGTTACTGTGTTTAGAACTTTTTTTATTGATAGCTCTAATAAATATTTTTTTTATAATCGATTTTGCTATTATGTAACAGTAGTTTGTGTCTCAATCCACTTAAGGATCCTCTTGTGGCTTTCTTACAAGTAGAATCCTTAAAGACTTGACATGCTTTCTCCAGGAATTGAAGGACCTGAAAATAAAAGCCAACACAATTACTAGACTGATGGAGCGTGGTTACAGAGTGAAGGTATGGCCCGATTGTTTTCCTTTTCTGTATCTATATACATTTTTTCTTCATCTTTATCATAATGTTAGCATGGACACTGCTGGGATCTCTGAACTTAATTTGTTGAAGAGTAGCATGTTCTTAAGTCACACTCTTTTCCTTATTGCTTGTAACTTAAGGTTTGACAGGATAATATATTTTTTGTTGGAAATTTTCTACGTTCAAATTTTGTTCATATTGATTAAACATGTATCAGGACATTCAGGCATGTTAGAAGTGCTTTGCGGAGCAAAAATGTCCTGCTTTACTTGTGGGACACACCTGAAAGTATCATACCCATGCAGATGCATTTGACAATGCATGTGCAAGGAAACATGCAGCCAGTTAATCTTAGGATATTTATTCACAAAATTAAATAATAGAAGAAACTTGGAGAAAATGTAATAGAAAGCAGAAGCGTAGAGGGGGAAAAATGAAAGAAAGGAAGCAGATCAATGAAATAACACACATTTTCAAAGGTGAAGAAAAAGAAGAAAACAACAAGACAAGTATGATTTTTATTTAGCATATAACTGCAAATCTTCTTATAAATAATATAAGTGATTGATAAGTTGCTGCCTTGAACATATTGTTAAAAGCTTTTCACTACATAATACGAGGTGAACCTTCATTAAAAGGAGTCACATCATTACCTTCTTACTTTTCTGCATGGTAATGATTAGTCACCTTTCATACTAAGTAGGTTTACTGTTATTGTTCTTCAAAATCTTGATTTATTATGAACAATTCACAGAGGGCATAATATGTCATTAAGTAACGATTAATATTTGATAAATTACTTTGTTTATAGCTACATACACAAAGAATATAAACATATTATATCATTGCATCAAACTTCTGATAACTTTCACTGCCCGACTCTGGTATTCATGCTTCATGTGACACCGTGCCTGTATCATGCAACTCATAGCTTGTAAATATTTTGATTTTCAAAGGCAAACCCTAGGAATATCCGATAATTCAAAGGAATTATGGATGACTGTATATTTCACAGCTATCTTCCCACGTGTATTTCTGAGAAAAAATAGTAGAGATTTATGCTATTTCTTTGAAAAAAGTAGAATGTTCACTTGGGTATTAATCTTTAACTATTTCTATAAAAGATATTAGGATTGGATATTGATTGAACATAAATTGATTTGATTACATTACTTAAGATTTGAATGAAAGTAATTTAGACAGATTTCAACCTATGGTTAGATTTCCATAGGAACTGTAGATGCACTCAAAGATTCAAAAAGCTCTTGATACTAAATGTATCCTGCGGGAGGATGAAAAGGGGGCCGATGAAACATTTGCTTTAAGAGTAAACGTAGGATATTATAATTTGATGGGTGACCTAGAGGCTCTGACAATGCACACTTCTTTTATATATAATGCTAAGTGAAGTGTAGATCAAATGAACGGTTTGCTTCATCGTCGTCATATAATTTAGTAGGTGGAAACAAACTTCTAATCTCTTGGTAACTAAAGTGACACCCTACATAAGTTAATATTGATGTACTGTTGTCATAATAAAGCTATTAATGACTTGTGAAGCAGCATTGGAAATTTTGAGCTTGACTGATGTTATTCCAACTTGATGTGTTTGTCTGCTAGTGTTCAATATTTTTCAAATTTATTTTTGAAGTAACACCTTTGTGAGGAAAAATAAGAAATTTATTATTTCTAACTAAGCAATAAATTAAATATAAACTGAGCACTGAGCAGTTATGGGTATTAGTTCATACTTTCTGAGTTGGATACATATTTCAGAGTATCCATTCTGATTAAATTCCTGGTAATACATTGGTTTTGAGGCTGCCTGACTTTTGGAGGTCGTCTGTTTCTGGTTCTGTTACTTTGTTCACTATAGCATTGATGTACTAGGGATTAAACTGTTGGATTCATAATCACGTATATACATATGCACTGCATATTGTACAAAAGGAGGTTAAAGGCTTGGAGACAGGGTTTTGTATTGTCCCCCGTGAGATAGCGCTGCTGTTTTTATTAAGCTTTACGCCTTTTCACATAAAATCGTTTCCCATTAGTTGTTTGATGCTTCTCATGCTCTTCTGTATCACAGTTTTCTGAAAACAGATTATTATGTTTTCTTTTGAGTTTACTGTCATCTGGAAACACATATTTATGTATTTACATATGCATCTATATATCATATATGTATGTGTGGGTATAAGAAAATTTCCTAATTGCTATATTTTATTGATCGTAGCTTTTGCATCATTTTTGTTGTTACTCACGTCATCAATTTTTTGAGTTTCCGGCAATAACTTCTTACTATGTTATCGTAAGCAGTTTCATATATATGCTGACATGGTTTAAAGTATTTCATATTTTACTTTGTGGACAGTGCACAGTTTTGCCCTCGGGTAAAGAAGAAGAAGATTTGAGAGGGCTGTTAGCGCGCATTTTAGAGTTGGTAAGTAAAACCTCTCTTTGTTCCTGAAAGTGTTATCTTTCATAACAACATTAAATTAATGGTTTCCTTGTATATATACCCCTTAAGTCATGCGTATTGGCAAAGCTACTCCCCAAAACTCGGTACTAGCAAGCAAATTATCAACTTTGGGGAAAACAAACCCCCTAAACCAACAAAATCATCAGCTTTGCTAGGTTAATCAGCACCTGCAATGTAAAAATATCAAGAAAATAGTCAAAATTTTAATCGCCATATTCAACAAAGTTGATGATTTGTTGATTTTTTCGCCTCTTTCCCCCCCCCAAAGTTGATATTTTGGGGGTAGTTTTGCAAATTTGCATGTTTTAAGGGGGCATATATATACAAAAAACCCCTAATTTTAATTGCTCTTGATGCGCTGGTCAATTCATTCTGTATTGTAACAGGTAGAAGATGTTGCTGTTGTGGAAAGTGGACCACACATAGTAGACACAAAGCAAGCATATATAATAGTGAGGCATACCATGTTTTCGACAAAAAAATCTGTGAAGAAAGCTGTCAAAGCTTTGGATGCTGTGAATAGTGTTCAGAGTGTAAAGAACAACATCCAAGAGAAGTCTCTTCAGTCTGATACTGAAATTGAGGTTCTTTCTGATCAAAATGCCAATGATCAGGAAGAAGTTATTGTCTTTGATGCTAAAAGGAACCCGAGAGAGGATCAAAATAGCTCTAAACCATTACCACAGATAAATTTGAAGACTCCCATTGCTCCTCCTATTGCATCAAAACCAGAGCCTTCTGTTGTTCAAGTAAACCGATATGCCAAACAAAGCGACCCCAATAGGTTCCCTCAGAATAGAGAGAGAATGCCACACCAAGCTACAAGAAACGAAACTGATCCGCAGCGAAGGCAATTTCACCCCAACAATCCTCATGGAAGATTCAATTCCGCAAAACCCGCTGAATTTGTTGATCGAAATAAACTTGGAACTCCAGTTATGAGTAAGCCCAGTAATCCGAGTTCATCACCACCGAGCCATGGAAAATTTAGTTCTTCTCAAAACCCTAGTCAACCGAGACCAGGCTATGGAATTTTCAGCTCAACAACAAAGCCTGCTGGCTCTAGTGATCATAGAACAGAAAACACAAATGTGCCCAACACCGAAAATACTAGTAATTCAACTAAGAACTATGGGGTTTTCAGTGCCAATAAACCTGTTGGTTCCGGTGATCCAAAGAGCTCTAGTACAACAAAACCGATCTTCAGTAATAAATCGAAAGCTGGCTCAGCTGGTGCTTAAAAGTCTTTTGGGATAGAAAATGAAGGTATTGTGAAAGTATGGGTTTTGATAGTTGTAGACAAAGGCTATGGGGAGTATTTAAAGAGCCACTTCCCCTAAGATCCGTTACAGCTTTTTTTTTTGTACTGAGATGGAACTGCAAATAGCGTGACTGCTGGAATTTTCTGTTAATTATTCTCATGGAATAATGTCTTTTTTGGGGCATAATACACCGATAATTTGTAATGCTAATTATTTTTTTGTTCCCATTTTTTGTTGACGATCGATCTATCTTTGATATCAGCACACTTTCTAGTTTGAATCTGGAACATTGATTTTATTAGCAGTTACGTTTTGTGAAGTAAGTTGCAAAATGTAGATCTCGTCAATTGTACAAAAAAAAATAAAAGAAAATAAATAAATAAATAAAATAAAATAAAATGAAACCATAAGGATGAAGAAGTAAGTTGCAAAATGCTAATTATTCTTTTCTTTTTCCTCCCATCCTTCCTCCTCCTCTCTTCTCTGTTCCATCTTCATCCTTCTCCTCCATCCCACCTCTCACCTCCCACCTTCTCCTTCCTCTCTCCTCCGCTGATCCTCATCTCTTCTCCTCTCTCCTTTATCAAACTTCATTCTCCTGCCTCCTCTCTCCTCTATCTTAATTGTCCTCATCGCTTCTCCTCCACCTCGAGTATTTCCTCCTTCGCTCCTCCTCTCTCCTCCATTCCATTTGTGGTTTCCCCCCTCCTTCCTCTTTTGATCGGTTTTCATCGTCTTCTCTCCTCCTACTTCTTTATCTCCATCTTCTCCTTTCAAATCCGCCGCCTCATCTCTTGAAGGTCACATCTTTTTAGCTAAAATGGTCGTCTCCTAAAGTCCTATTGAAATTGACACTTAATAGTTAGAGTTAACACCTATGCTTTGAAGTTAGCTTCTAACAATTAATTTTAGACCTTACATGTTGACCTTAAACCTCACATGTTAACTTTAATTGTTAAATGTTAACTTTAGACCTTATATGTTATATCTAGGCTTCACATGTTAATTTTACTTGTCAGATATTATCTTTAAAACTTAGATGTTTACTTTAATGTTAAGTGTTAACTTCGGCATAACTTTAAAAAATGACCATTCTAGCACAAAAATAAAGAATTTTGAAAGATATTGTGACGGTTGTGAAAGAAGAAGAAGGAGATGGGAGGAAGGGAGAGACAGGTGAAAGTAGAACGAAAGAACATGGAGAAGAAAAATGTGGAGATCGGATGGAGGAGAGAGGAGGAGGGGAGAGAGTGAGCGGAGGAGGAATAAGATGGGCAAAGGAGGAGGGTTGAGGATAGAGTTGAGATGGAGAGAGCAAGGAGGAGAATGAAGTTGGTTGGAAGAGAGATGAGAATGGAGGAGGATGTGCAAAGGAGAGAGAGGAGAGTAGGGGATGGGAGGACGAAAGTGGAATGGAAAGAATGGAGGAGGTTGGAGGTGGGCCAGAGAAGAGAGGAGGGAGGAGATGAGTAGAAAAGGAGGGAAAAAGAGAGAGAATACAAGAGGAGGAAGGAGAGAAAGTACATTTTAGAGATATTGCACTCTCTTTAAAAGTATGAGTTAGAAAAAATCTTTTTATAGTTAATATTCTCTTTAACTTTTTTTGAATATTATATTGTTATCCTAATCTATTCTAATTATTCTGTCTTCTTTGAATTGGTAATTAAATGATTTATCCTGTTTATAATGAGACTTAATATGTTATTGGATAAAGGAGATACATTTGATATAATTTAAATCATTTACTTATTTTAGTTCACAGGGAAATCAAACAAAATATATGCTAGTCAGCACCTAGTTTTTTTTGGACTTTGTAAAAAATATCCTCCAAGTTTTTTAAATTGTAAAAACACCCATACAAATTTAAAATTTTATTAAAACATTTTAAAAATTATAAATTTTACTTATTTTAATTTAGTGAGAAATCTGAAAAACATATGCTAACTAAAAACTAAAATTTTTTTGACTTTGAAGAAAATATCTTGTAAGTTTTGAAAATTATAAAAAACACCACTAAAAGTTCAAAATTTGTAAAAAACGCCTTAAAAATTTCAAACTTATAAATACACTAAAAATCTACAAATAACACAAACAACCTGTTAAAATTTATAAAATTTGCAATAAACACTAAACTTTTAACAAATTATAAAATAAAACCCTCAAAATTATAAGATTTATAAAAATCTTGATAATTTGTAACCTAACATTACATTGAAAATATAGGAATTATAAATATCCTCTACATAATTTATAATTTATAGAAAAAACCCTTAAAGTTTCAAAAAATACAAATAAAAACTTAAAATTTAAATTTTATAAAAACACCCTAAGTATTTTAAACTCATTAGTAAATTAAAAACATAGAAATTATAAATAGTCTATAAATAATTTATAATCTGTAGAAAAGGCCTATAAGTTTAAAAAATTACAAAAAAACCCTAAAATTTATAATTTTTAAAAAAACACCATGAGAACTTCTAACCGATAGACACTAAAATAAATGTACAAATTTACTAATAACCCCCTAGAAAATTAAAAATTTGTAAAAAATATCATAGTCTCTTTAAAAGTATAGGTTTAGGAAAAACTTTTCATGATCGATGTTACACATAACCTTTTTGAAAAGAACATAACTAATTGAAAATCTATTAACTTTGAAATTTATAAAAAAACACCTTTACATTGCAAATTATCCCTCCAAAGTTGGAAACTTTTCAATGATTTTTTGTAATTTCTTGATTTCAATGTAATGTTTAATAGGTTTTTGTATTAATAAATTACAGAATTTTAGGGTGTTCTTTTTTACAATTTGTAAAACTTTTGAAGGTGTTTCTTTTGTAGTTTTCTAAATTTTTATTGTTTTTTTAGTATAATGCATAAATATATCAATTAATGATGATATTGAAGAGTAAATCGTTCTTAAGATGTATTAGGCCATAGTTAAGTGTGCACATCACTATTTCTGGACGGTATAGTTTATGTATGCAGAAATTTTCAGACAATCTATATAGTGGTTAAAAAGATTTTTGATTTTAATGTACTATTTTTTATAAATTATATTTAATGTGAACCCACCGCATAATTTTGACTGTTATTAATTAACTAAATAGGTATATTGATCATAGATTACTTTACTCTCACATGAACTAATATTTGGTACTTAATAGTTTAAATTATTACTTTTAGATTTAATATAAAGAGGAGCTCTGGTAATATTTATTTATTTACCTACAGGATAATACAATCTCAATTCCTATTTTTTGCTTGAGATTTATTCTATAGTTATGCGTATCAAATTAGTAACTAAAATAATTATTATTTATGCTTAAATTAGGATAATTGTAGTTGGTCACTCACTATGAAATTTTTATGAAGATATATACCTTACTTTCTATAGCTATCTGCACTATCTATGTATATTTTATAAATTAATTGTTAATTTGACATATTAAATTACTTTTCTTTGTAGAAATTTCTTCTTTGACTTTTGGATTGTGTAATCATTATATCACTATTCTAGCGTAGAAAGGACCTCACTATAAATGGCTTCAAGCCAATGTTTGATTTGAATTGAACTATATACTATTGCTACTATATGTATATTTTTTTAAGAAAATCATGTCAACACTTTTTAAAGAGAAGAGAATATTTTAACCTCGGATATTATAAAAACTAAATATAGCCAATTGAGTGATTAGTAAAAGAAACTTACATTAGGAAAATATGAATAATAAGATAAAGAGGTAAGGTAATGACATCGCCAACAGTACTGCCAATAACAAACTACAATATAAAGTTAACATTTTTTATGGAGCCCAACTACTCGCTATAAACATCGAGCTTTCCATATATATACTTTATAATTTATTAAAAAGGGCCATATAATCTTATATAATAAAATTGATTTAATACTGAATAGTAATATCGTTGTAATAATATCGTTATTAGAAAATTTTTTTTATGAACCAGTATGTTCTTTACGATATATAAACTATGCACTCCAAATTCTTATGTCTTTTATGGAGCCAAAAAGTTTGAATACGATCATCTAACATTTTACTCTCACAACAGCAAAATCTACTTATCAGATGTGGATATGCCTGATGAGTTATATGTCCTATATATAATACAATTGCCCTAGACAAATAAGTTATAATAATATTTTTCATTCATATCTGTTTGGTGTAAGATTTGATAGGGACCTTATAATAACATTTTTCATTCATATCTGTTTGGTGTAAGATTTGATAGGGACCTTGCATCAAAGAAAAAAAATTATATTTAGAGCACATGACGAAATATATCATAATCTCCCTGCTCTAATTTCGCAAGAAAATAATTATTCATACTTTTAATTTTACTTCTATGATACGGAGAATGAGCTATAAAATTGAATGAGAATATTAGATAATGTAAATATGAGTGAAACCATAACTAAAAGTTAATGTGAATACGAGTCAAACCACAACTAAAAGTTTAATGGACATATTACAAATAAATTCATATGTAAAATTCCTTTGCGAATTGAATGATCTCTCATCTTTTGAAGACTTCAAGATACTAAGAAATAGAGATGTTGTACTAGATCAATGTATAAAATTGAATGAGAATATTAGATAATGTAAATATGAGTGAAACCATAACTAAAAGTTAATGTGAATACGAGTCAAACCACAACTAAAAGTTTAATGGACATATTACAAATAAATTCATATGTAAAATTCCTTTGCGAATTGAATGATCTCTCATCTTTTGAAGACTTCAAGATACTAAGAAATAGAGATGTTGTACTAGATCAATGTGTTTATAACTCACAAATAGTAGATAACATGACCACAGTCTGGATTGAAGGAAACAATGACAATATTTCATTTCAGAGAGATTACCAAGTTGATGATCAATCTCACAAAAAAAAATTCTTTTTTTTTTATTTTTGTTCAATTTTTATCAATTTAATTAATCATGATATTCAACCACGTACATCTCAACTAGCGAGGTCAAAAAAATGAGTTGATGAAGGGTTTTTCACATGACAAGTTTGATTAGGGGTCAAAACACTCGGCCAAATGTCGGGCTAAATTTTATAAGTGTAACTGTGTAAGTCATAACAAATTATATTCATCCTCTTAAATTACATTTAGATGTATGTTAAGCCCATAAATATAGCACAATATCAAGTGAGTTGAGGTGTGAATAAATAAAAGATACACTCTTTAAGGACAAATTTAAAAAACGATGACAAACTATATCCATCCTATTATATTATGTTTAGTTGTATATTAAGCCCACAAATATAACACCATATCAAGTAGGTGTACAATTAAAACAAAAAGTAAGTTTGAGGTGTTACAGGTGTAAATAAATAATAGGTACAATTCTTGCAGGACTACTTTAAACATAATATGTAACTTAAAGGGTATGCATAGAAAAACCATAAACAATATGAAAGAGAGTAATATGTTTGTAATGAGATGAGACTCACAGCCTTGAGCAATTCAAACCCATGTTCAAAGCTTACCATCTGAGCTAATGGATATTCGTGAATGCTTGGTGAATAGCTTAGCATTTAACCGAGTTGAGTACGAGGACCTTTTCGGTATTTGACTCAAAGTTGTGGATAGCCTATACGGTCCTTGTTTTCAACTTACCACCTCCATAGCGTTATTTTTGTAGATAGACCCCCGATTGATTTTTTTTACTCCTGCACCCTCAGGGAGAAAATTGTATTGTGACAAATGGAATCGCAGGGTGCAAAAGATTAAACAAAAAAATCACTCAAGGATTTTATATGCAAAAATAAAGGCAAGGTACAGGGTGTTCAAAGCAACAATACTACAAGAAATATATCCCAAATGTTAAATTACAATGCGGTACAGATCCCGAACGTGAGTAGCACTCCGCAAGTTTTTTATTTTTGATTTTTTTTGGCGATATCAGTCTTAACCAGATTCACTACATTTCTGCCAGTCTTTTTAATCAATGCAAGCTAGGAACACAAGATCATCACCAACTACCACATCAAAAGTATCAAAGCAAAGCCGATTGACATGCAAATAAACATCGTATAAGAAATGTAATGACACTGAATTAACACACAAAGAAGCAACTACAGAAATGAAATACCCATCATGTTAATTTAAGCACTGATCCAGCTCAGAAATTTGAGATTGTGTAGAATGAGGATTGCAAGAGCTCTCTCGTACAAGGAGATCGAACTACAGTATTCTATGCTTTAAGCGCCGACTTGTGGAACATGGTCTCCTTGTGAATTTGGTGACAACTCTTCTCGACAAGGTCCAGAAGCTTCTCCAAGTTTGTCGCCCACGAGTTAAGAATGTCGTTGCTGTCTTTAGCAGATTGAAAGGATACGATGCCCATAGGCCTATCGATCTTTGCTATAAGAGACTTCGATACCACCATTTCAGATAGATGCTTCTCAGCTTCCTGAACAATGATTAGACAAATGATCAGGAAAACTTGATAAATGTCTCTGATCCATGTAGGCAACATCTGGATAAACTATGTCATATGACATCTAGATGAGACTATGCTATGTGAGGAAATAGATGGTACTGGACTCAGAAACTACAATGTTTCTCAAAAAAGGTGAGAAGTCCAATCAAAGGATAAACGACAATGTTTCTCAAAGGAAAGGATAAAAAAGTCCAATCAAGTATAACTATTCTAATATCTAATTTCAGATAGTCATCATAATTTATGAGGCAGTGGTTTGCAAACAAAAGTAAATGGAAAGAAAGTTAGAATATTCTAATATCTCACCTCATCATTTTTTGCTCTAAATCTTCATTCTAAACCGTCTACTTTCGATCATAACCAAACACCAATTTTTTAAATATCGGCCAATAAACCGATATTATTGTCGATTTATCGGTTTGGGGGCCTTCCCCTATGATAAGTTCAATTCTAAATTGGTTATTGTTTTTGGATGTTTATCGTCGATAATGCGACGATAAAGTGAGTTATCGACCGATATTGTCGGCCTAAAATCAGGAATTATCGGCCTTTGGTTTGAGTTTGGATTTCAGGCAACGTGCACCTATTCATTGCACTTTAAACCCGACCCGAGTTTCTACCATTGGTTAGTGATCCTAAACATAATAATTTACATTTTGTATGTTTATCTTTCATTAAGTATGTTCAGATTATATTTTAGAATATTATATTATGTATATCACCATCCGGTAATGTCACTCTGATAAATACTAATTATTCCCGATATATCCCCGATATCCGCTATCCGATATGGATTTTGACCGTCCGATAAATCCCCGATAGTCGATATTTAAAACCTTGCCAAACACAACTGGAAGAAAGTGGATGTCAAATCATTTGTTACTTCAACTTTACACCTTTTCACTTGAATCATCCAAACAAGATTTGCAAATAGATAGTCACGAGAAAGTAATTTCTTGAGAAAGTACTCTCTTCACTTTTTCACTTTCTACTTGCTTTCTGGCCGCCAAACATAGATTAGCTTGGATCAGAAGTAAGAGGTTATGCATCTTCTTTCAGTAGTTCACTGAGTGTAATTAAATCTTCAAATCAGTTTAGGAACTTTCTACCTGTTCCCACACAGTTTATTGCAACAAATTGTAGCAGACAGTATAATCCTCATACTATTACGCTTTGTTTGGTACGTGGGGTCGAGAATGGAACAAAATAAGGAATGGAATGGACTAAGTGCGGGAATGAAATGTTTATTCCTATTCTCACGTTTGGGTGCGATTAGAAAATGAAGTGGGAATGAAAATCTTTTTTTATTTTTGGTATTGATAATTAATAAGCAACCAATGTAAATTTGGAATTTATTTCAAATTTTTTATTCCCATTTAAGTGGGAATGCACATTCCCTATTATCTCATTGGGAATGCTCATTCCCACTTAACATTCCCACATTAAGTGGGAAAGGAGAAATGGGAATGGTCATTCTAGTTTCCAGAAAGGTGCTATGTTTGATATGCATGAATTAGAAGTGGGAATGAGCATTCCATTCCCCCCATTCTCATATACCAAATGAGGCATTCGTGAAATCGGCTAGCACAAAAATCAATCCTTATACAAAACTTAACTAGAAAGACATATAGATGCATCCCTGTTCTTCAACAATCTGACAACTCCATGAAAATTGCAAAAGATAAAACCTTAAAATTTCCAAATTAAGTGATAAAAATTTGAGACGATAAAACTGGAATGAAGAACAATGCAAAATAATATATACATACTATAAAATAATACAATCTAGAGCTGTTTTGACCTTATTATCATGAATGGCAATAGCAGTACATACTGCAAAATAATATATAATACTTTCAAAGTCTCAACCAGTCCTCAGTCCAAAGAATATTAGGAAAATGATGTTCATTTTGTTTCAACAAAAAATGTAGTGCTCCCAACAGCCATCCTTAGCAAATAAGGGCTCAAAAGACACAAAAAGATGTTGAGGTGTTAATTAATGGCCACTGGTTAATATTGACAAACTTACCTACTTAGGATAAGTCTTACTGGCAATCCCATTATTGACTGAGCTAGTGCTATCTGCTATGACAATAATGCCCAAACTAAATAGAAAATTAATAATGATCTCTACAGTAGTTTATTTCCATATTCACCTCTCAACCACAGTAGTCTATGGGTGTAAAATAACATGACACTAACCCATAAGTTAAACAAGTGCATAATCCATTTCTCATAGCACATATTGACTATCACCATGATTCTCTATTAACCTTGGAAGGAGAAGATCAAGGAAATATCGGTTGGCACATTACTGCCTCATGTCCTCATGTTCTTCCTCAGAGTGGCGACTTAAAATCTAATGATGCAAGGACATAAAAGAAGGGAATAAAATACTAGAGCAGTATCACATGACGGCATAATATACAAAAATAACAGCTTGCATATTGCAGAAAGAAATATGTGAACAAAAATATGTAAATTTCCAAAATATACAGTTAGGTAGGTAACAAATATAGAAACTGCAGCAATAAAAATAAAAAATAAATAATGCACCATACTGGTCACATTTAATGAAATAGAACTGCAGCGAACCTGTAAAGTGAGGCACAACAGATCAGCAATTCTCTTTAATGTAAGCCGGGAATAATATTTGGACACCACCAAAATATTCTGGAAAAGAGCAGATTTTTTGTGAATTAATGGAATGCCAAATAATAATTACTCAAGTAATAACTCAACATGAAAAGTTGAACCAATTAGCATCAATATATATACATGTTCAATGATTCTCTGCCTAAGATCTTCAGCTGCCTTGGCACCTAAAGCTCCTCCAAGCATGTTTGCCTCATTCTCAAACTCATCCTTGAACATCTCCCAAAGACGAGTCCACTGGATTACTTCCATGGTAACAAGCTGCTTTAATAGAAGACTGAAATGGACATCCATGCAGCAGTTAAACGTAAGACCCAAAGGAAAATATAATGACGAAATTGAAGTACTGACAGAAAAAAAACCTACCGGAAATTAGGAATCTCAGATAGATTCTTATCTTCCAAAGTAGAGTTAAGAAGACTCGATTGCATTGGATCATGTGGAGACAACACCAAGTACCAACAAATTTTCCTCAGCACCTGCAGAAACTCTGTAAGATTTCCATTTAAAGGTTTTAATGACGGAAAAAGACTGTCAAAACAACCATTTACCGGTATCCACTGAGCTGGGTCCTCTTTAACTGATGGAATATCATATATTGCCTTGAAACAACGACAAATCTCTAGGTACTCATTACTGTGAGAATAATAGCTGCAGCAGAATGATTTAAGTAACAGTTGTCCATTATTTATTGAGCTCACAAATACAAACAACTTACAATGTCGATAATACATTTTAAATTGTTTGTCAATTTTGAATACAAGCCATTTAAAGGAAGAATACATAAGGAATTGATACACGAGTATCCGAAGGCACAAGTAAGCAAAGGCATTCAATAGCCCTAAAAACAGTTGAAGCATTTGATTCTAATTCAGGTATTGAAGCATTTGATTTTAATTCAGGTATTAAATGTCTAGAAATACTTTTTTATAAACATGAAAACACATGGTGCCTACTTCTTAGTACACTATGTAACATTAAAAAGGAAAGAGAGGTGGCTACTATACAGAAAACATGCTGACCATTGTTACAACAGATGACCAATGATATAGCAGACACCACAATTGAAAACCGTCAAGCAATAACGACGATCATGTTGAGATGAGAAATGTGGCAATCGTCTCACCACTATGTGAAGCAGAAATGTTTTAGTCAATGCAGTAGGACAAAGATATGTCTGATATCAAACATAATGGGGGAATAGTTGACTAAGGTACTGATACCCTACTAGATCCCCAAGCAGAATAGAAGCATAGTTGACTAAGGTACTGATACCCTACTAGATCCCCAAGCAGAATAGAAGAGGCAAAAATCTGCATATTTACCAGTTTCAAGAGAGATTACATGGCTAGTGAGACACATTACACAAGTTTAACTGGAATTACAACAGAAACATGCATTGGAAGTGTCATTGTCTGAGCAAAGTGATTTTGGTTCCTCAATTCCCTGACCAAAGTCTAGCAATTAATATTACACTAATGTTTAACTTCATCCATATGGATCCAAAACAACTAACAGTGCACTTGTTGGTGATAAAGTAGCATTGTCCAAATCTGGGTTATGCATTTGCACTAAGAAGGAAAAACCTCCAATTGATATTTCAATCTGGCATTAGCTACATGTGTCACATTGCAAATTGAATGAAAAATAGGAATATAAAAAGATGAAGCAATTAGAAGGAAAACATATCATGGTAACATGGAACCCATACAAGGAAACATAATCGTTCCTGCTAAATTAATAAAAAAGCAACACCATACCGAATCATTAATTCATAATATATGCGCTTCAACTCCATGAGTGAAGGAATATCAGCCGGAGCCTCTTCAACAACATTATCACCTTCCTTCGGCTTTTTCTTTTCCTTTGAAGTATCTGCGTTGAAAACTCGTGGACTAATTTTTCTTGATAAAATTTGAGCACGTACATAATCTTGGCGGTCCAAGCACAAGCGAACCTGCAAATTATGTAATAACAATAAGTTAGACATCATAGTCTAAGGACCAATAAGCCAAAATAACACCAAAGAAAGGATTAAAATGTCATCATACTTGTTCAAGGATGAACGCTATTTTTTCTGTCTTTGCCATGGCTCCAAATGTTTCCACCTGAAAAGCCAATTTATCAACATACATCAACAAAAAAAAACAATCGAACAGGAACTACAGTCACCTTTTTCAATAATTCTAAGAGTACTTAAACAATATCAAACGACATTCAATCCTAAGTAACTTACAGCAACTTCTTGCATCAAATCTGCAGCTTCAGCAATTTGGCCTTGCTGTTCTTTGATTTTTGCAAGTATTTTAACCAATCGTGCCCTCTCTATCTCAACATATATCTGAAAGAAGCGTACAAATAAAACTTTAACATGAGCTAGACATACATTTGTCAAAGCTAAAGCATAACATTCACCAATATAAAATGATTGGCTGACCTTCCCGGCAGAGACATTGTTCAATGTTTTGATCAATTCTATGCGTGTATCGATATCAGGCGTTTTATCAATGTACTGCATAGCTTGTTGTACCATGGCAGTTACAGCCTGCAAGAAAGGAAAAAACCATTAAATCCACAATGAGAAAAATAGATGAGGGTTAAAAATACCAACCAACGGAGGGATCACAGGAGGAGAAGTGATGCTTAATTTAACACAAATTTCCTCAGATTCTAGGCACAATAAAGTATTCCACTGATTTTCACAAACACATTATACAAATAGTTTAATGTCACGGGGTTCAATATGAAGAAACATATCCCATGCTAATTATATAGCATGTCAGTTGCAGAAAATAAGAATGTAATGACTGTGCCACAATGAGAAGAAGAGAGGAGAGGCTAATGAATTAAGATCAATCAAAGTTAGTAAATCTCGACTCTACTAAAGATCGAAAATGTAATTTATTTTAGAGTTTGTGACAGGTTCTAACCCGAGCTGGTGATGTACCTATATTCCAGATTAGAGATTCAGATTCGTACTTTGTGAACAAAATCAGCCTCCTTAGCTCCATACTCCTACCTGATAGAAATAGGTATAGGGAGGGAAGTGACAAATAAATTGCTGCAACTCCTTGACAAAGAATAAGAATGTCATGATTAATATCCACAAAAGCTATAAGATGGGAATGGATGCTGACGGACAGACAATAGAAGGGAAGAAGGGGAAAGAGCAAACACATGCACAGTGCATAGACACATGCATGTGTGCACATTGAGTAATACAGATGTCAGAAACGAGCGAGTTTGTAAGAGAATGGGAATATGGTATTAACATGACTTGGTTTAACTCCAAAGTCCAAAAGAATCGTTGGGAAGTCAAATGTGAAATTAATGCAATTAGTAATGACTAGTATTGCTTAGAGTAATATGAAACCAAAAATAATCAAACAATTTAGACTCATCTTCCTCATAGTACACAACTAGACAATCCCCAATATCATTCAGTGTATGTGGGAATCCAAATTTCGCATTAGAAAAATTGGTTCAGGTTCTTCATTTATACGCCTCACATTACTTCTGTTACAAGTTACCGTTTATAACTTTCCCACTCACAAGCTAGAAGATAAAAGACTGAACTCCAAGACAAATTGATATTTTTCTGTGGGTCACTGGGTTATCATGAAGTCCTCCTCAGAGGTTCACATGATGCTCCTAGAACATCATATCATAACTTTTGTATTCTTCATCCAAGCTACTTCCTTACTCATAGTTGACACCAGTCTGCAAATTACAGATAGCCAACATCATATCGTTCATATCCAGTTGTAAGATCTTGATCAATTCTTTATCAATCCTCCCAGGTGTTGGTTTTAACTTGCTAGTTGCTACGTAACTCATCTGATGGAGGAAAGTTTAGCTGATTACTGAAGATGATACATGGACTTTTTGCTCTGCTGTTAATATGCTATAAGTCTTATTATCCTCGTATCACGTAAAACAAACCTTCCAGCTATGCATTTGTATGATGCAAGTTTTTTGATATTTAATATATCTACTTAGCCTACTTAGGTATTCTTAAAATTTTCAGTGAGTGAAGGACATTGACATTGCTCGGGTTCTGTTACTGTCAACAACTATGCAGTAATATATGTATAGCAGCTAAATAACATTGGCATACATTAAAATTAGCAAGATATTTATGTTACCTGGAAACTGCGAACACTGGCACGCATTAATCATTGAAGTTAATACCCTAATAACTTTCTAAAGATACAAAGATATAAATGTCATGTAACTCAGCCTTGGGTTATTTGGCTATTAAACTATATAATATAATTGAATCCCTAGAGCTTCTTCCAGATCTATGTCCAGGAACCTTATTTGGCTATTAAACTATATAATATAATTGAATCCCTAGAGCTTCTTCCAGATCTATGTCCAGGAACCATAAACCCGACCAGATTCTACATGTATAATTGAATCCCTAGAGCTTCTTCCAGATCTATGTCCAGGAACCATAAACCCGACCAGATTCTACATGAAATTTAACTTTGAATGTGCACCTCAAATATTCAACGCAATATAGAGCCAACTGGTTCAGGAGAAGAGATCATAGGATGACAGTAATTAAGGAATTACTTGGTGAAGAGGGTAAAGCTCCATGCTACCAAATCTGACAAAGATTAATTTTAGATGAAATTTATAAACAAGTAGGCTAGGGCACTGATATTTAAGCTGTGTTTTTTATCTTAATTTATTTAGTGAAACAAGACCAACATACGAACAATAATGCCCAAACCCTACAAAACCTCCGCAAATAAACCAAAAAAAATTCAGCTTTTTTCAACCTGCTTGAGTTGTCCTCTCCTCTTTGACAAAAGAACGATCTGATCATTGAGGGTCTTCCAAGCTCCAGCCTTGTAGCAGAGCTCAACTATATCGATCACCGCCTTCTTCGTTCCCGCCACATCGCCGGAGAGCCTCGCTTGCTTCTCCTCGTTCAACTTCGCGTCGATCGCCGCATCTAGATTCTGATTCTCCTCCTGCAACGAAATCGATCCGAGGTTTGGCATTAGATACCAGTTAATCGGAAACAGAGATCGATGAAAACCCTAGGGTTTTTTCAAAATAGATTGAGATTTAGAATTTGGGAAGCTTTACCATCAGTTCGGTCGATTTCAGAAGAGGAAGCAAACCCTAGGAAGAACGAGATGTGAGAGAGAGAGAGAGAGAGATGAAAGAGTTCTATTTATTTATTTATATTGCTTCTCTCCTTTTAACTTGGGAAGAAATTATTAAACGGATCCTATTCGGGTAGGCTTATGTAGGATCCGAATCCAAACCGGATAACTTCAAGGAAAAATATCAATGTCTAAAGAATTACTTTAAGGCATGTCTTGCAACTTACTTATTTCAACTTATAAGCGAATTTTATCTTATAAATAATGTTTGGTAAACTCTAATTAATTATTTATTTTTTTCTAATAAGTAGGAAACAAATAAGTTTGGATTTTCTAACTTATTCAACTCGTCAAATGATTCCTAACACTTCTCGGTTCATTTAAATTTCTCTCCCTTCTGGATCTACTTGGTCAGCTCTTAACGAATCTCCGGTAATATCCCACAAATCCCAGGAATCTACAAACTTCTGCGACATTATTCGGTGTCCGCCACCTGATTATATCCTCAATCTTTGTGGCATCAACAGCTATTCTTGCTACCAATACTATATGAACCCGCTCAGCCAAAACTTACACTTCTCGAGTTTTCTATAAAACTGATTCTTCCTCATCACTTTCAGCACTACTGTCAGGTACTCCTCAATTAAATTATGAAACAAGAACCAAAAGATGTCTCAATGAAAAAGAACCAGACTCATTATCACTATCTCAATTAAATCGATTTCATTAACTTCCCAAATTTCTTTCATGTTATCCTCTCAATCTCCACATCCAGTGACTAATCGGAGTGGACTTGCGGGCATGCTTAGTAGAGAGTTGGTTACAGAGGGCTTTTGTTAGATCTCCTAGGAGCAATAAAACCATAGTTGGAGGGATTGCACGCAATGCTCTCATATAGCAAACAATAACAAACACGAGGTAAACAATGCTCTCAAGATAGGCGCACCCTTACAAAATCAGACTCAAATACAAAGCAGCTAGATCCCCAAAACCAAATTTGGATATATTCTATGATTAGCTAAAAGGCATCAACTTTGATAACAAAGTAGCAAACTGACTCAAACAGCAATAGAGAAAGAAACAAAGTAGCAAACTTTGTTAACAAAGTAACAAAGTACTTTTGGAGGCATTAAGGAGTAATAGAGAAAGAGGAGAAGAGGTAGTAGGAGTGGGGGTAGATAAATTTTAGAGGAGGAAGAAGGTTAGAGAGGAGAGAGCAGAGAATGGAAAAAGAAAAAACAATAAAAAACTATATAGATTTCTTAATTGAGGCAGACACTTGAGATAGAAAAGGGAAGATGTAAGAAGACGATGAGAAAGATATTGTTGAGGGAGGGCACTTTTGGGATTTTTCCTTTTTGGGGGGAGGGGGGACGGGATTGTTGCTGGTGCGGTCGCCGATCGTTCGACGGCAATGTCACGCATTAGTGCGTGTATGGCCATGGCGGGCGTTAGTGTTGAAGGGGGAGAAAATGAGAGAGAGGAGAGAGCGTTTGAAGGGTAGAGAAAATGAGAGAGAGAGAGCAGTTTGAAGGGAGAGAAAATGAGAGAGAGAGAGAGAAGAGAGAGATATTTGGGGGGGGGGGGGGGAGGAGGAGGAAGAGGAGGATTGTTGGCGGTGGTAAAATGTCGACGGTGACGAATCATTGTTGGTGGTGATGGCCATAAGGGGTTGAATTTGAGGAGCGAGAAAATAAGAGAAAGAAAACTAGTTTTTTTCTTTTTCTAATAAAGGAAATATATAACTAATTTGAAAGATAAAAATATTACGCATGTGATGATGACAAGCGGGCAACAAGCTGCGCCGCTAATCCTTTCTGAATTGCAAAACCCAACCTACGAAACACGTACTCAGCAGACCCTACTGTCGCTACATTCTTATTCATGAATTTCTGTACCCTCCTGAGAAACTCCTGTGAACGTGTTTCTGCTTTGCTCGTGGGGTCCACACCCACGTGAGTCCGCTTGGAGTTTTTATTTTTTGTTCGGGTTTCGTTCGGGTACATGTGAAGCGGCCCACGAACAATGCTATTTAAATAGCCTAGGGTTTCGTGAAGTTGGATTGTGCAGGAGGTTTGTTTCGGCTGGGTGTTTCTCTTTTGACTGCGTTGTGCAAGCTAAGGAGGTTTTGGGTGTTAGGCGGCTGCAGCAAAGAGAGCAGAGGTTTGATTTGTTTTGCGGCTGGGTGCTTTTTGCGGCTGCAGGAGGAAAGCAGCAAGAGAAAAACTCAAGAGAAAAATCAGTTTTTTTTGGGTTTTGTTGCATCCTTTTGTAGAGAGAGTTTGTGAGGGATTTGAGAGAGTTTGTTTGAGGGTTTAGATTGTGAGTGATTGTAAACCCTAGTTGTATTCTCTCCCTCTATTAGTATATCTCTCCCCCTCCTTGCCCCGTGGACGTAGGCAATTTGCCGAACCACGTAAAAATTGGTTGTACTGCTATTTGTGTGATTTGTAATAACTTTTAGGTTCCCTCGACGCGCAGTCTTAGAGCTGACGAGAGGAAGAGCTAATATCCCACTTTGATAAGATATTAGGCTTCAGATTCTTGTTCCCTTTGAGAAACAAGAATTCTTATTGCGATCTAACTCTCTTGTTGTGCTGCCGAAGTGCTGCCGAAATTTTCGCTGCGCGCAACAAGTGGTATCAGAGCCCAGATTTCAGATCTAGGGTGTTTTGAATTAGGTGGAGGAAGATTCAGTTGGAAGCTTGGTTTTTGGAGTTCTAGGCTTCGGTGGAGATAGTATTAGGAGTTGCCGTTGGAGATTTTGCTTTCCTCGTGTGGATAGGAGATCTATTTGGAATCCGATCTAGGGTTCAGTTGGGTGGTTCCTAATTTCTATCAAATTTGTTCTTTCTCTACAATTTGGAGTTAGTTCGTAATGGGAGAAAAAAGTGAAAGCAGCAAATCGATGGCGAGTACAATACAAGTTGGTTTTTAGAACACTAAAATTAGTGTGGTAAAGTATGACGGCAAAATCAACTTTGGTTTGTGGAGGAGCGACGTACAGGATGCGCTCAATGCTCAGAATTTGGAAGAGACTATCATGGTCCACGAGAGGCCACCTAAATATGAAGAGGCGGTATAGGAGAAGATGAATAGGAATGCTTGTGGGGTGATCAGGTCCTGTTTGGAACAGGAGCTGAAATATGATGTGATTGGGGTGACGTCTGCAATAAAGATGTGGGAAATTCTTAACAACAAGTATCTCATGAGGAGTGTTGAGAACATGTTGCACTTGCTGCGAAGACTCTTAAGATTTCAGATGTCCAGAGGTACCTCGCTAGCGGTTCATGTGAACAACTACACTAAGTTGTTGTCGGACTTGGCGAATGTTGATGAGAAGATATCGGATGAGTACAATGCGATTATTTTGTTGGGCTCCTTACCGGATGAGGAGTATGATATCTTCGTGCTCACTTTGTTGAATGGGAGATCTTCTATCATCTATAGTGAAGTGACTAACGCATTGACGAACTACGATTTGAGGAGGAAGGATAAGGAGACTTCCCGCGCTAGTACTTCAGGAGAGGCCTTGTCGACGAGAGGTAGAAGCCCATATCCGAAAGGTGGTAATAGAGAGAGGTCAAAGTCTAGAGGCCACCACTAATTAGCAAAGAACCAATGTGCATTCTGCAAGGAGCAGGGACATTGGAAGAGAGACTGCCCGAAGCTCAAGGAGAAAGAGAATGGCAAGAAAAAGGGCCCGAAGGCCAATGAGGTGAACATTGCGAAAGGCGATGATTCCGATGATTCGTGCTTTTCTCTACTGATTACTCCGGAGGTGAACCATGTGGATGCATCAGATTGGATGCTTGATTCCGGCGCTACCTTTCATGTGACCCCTAGGCGAGACTGGTTTGCATCTTTTGAGAAAGTCGACGGGGGCGTTGTTGTCATGGGAAATGATCAATCCTGTGGCGTTTGTGGGATAGGTACCGTACGGATTAGGATGCACGATGGAGTAGTCCGTGAGTTGAAGGAGGTGAGATTTGTTCCTCAACTGAAGAAAAATCTTATCTCAGTTGGAGCTTTGGAGGCGAAGGGATTCAAGGTGACTTTCGAAAACGCTGTAGCGAAGGTTACTAAGGGATCATTGGTGGTGATGAGGGGAGTCCGCAATCGGAATTTGTATTATCTGAAGGGAAGCACCGAGATTGGCCAGGTTGCTTCGGCTATTTCAGAAGCGGACATGAGCAGACTTTGGCACTATAGGTTGGGGCACACAGGTAAAAAGTCACTGCAGGCATTGTTTCTAGGTGTTGTTGGGTGTACACCATGACGAAGAAGAGTGAAGTCCTAGATTTGTTTGTGGAGTGGAAAAGAAGATTGGAACTGCAGACTGGGAGAAAGATCAAGACGTTGCGATCCGATAACGGTGGTGAGTATACTTCTGACCCTTTTCAGCAGCTATGTCGAGACGAGGGCATAGAGAGACACTTCACAGTTAGTCATACACCGCAGCAAAATAGGGTGACAGAGAGATTGAATCGGTCTTTACTGGAGAAGATCCGATGTTTATTGTCACAGAGTGGTTTGGAGAAGATCTTTTGGGCTGAGGCACTTGCATATGCGAGCCACCTCATTAATAGGCTGCCTTCATCTGCGATTGAGGGAAAAACCCCTATGGAGATGTGGTCGGGAAAGCCAGCACATGACTATGACCAGCTCAAGGTATTTGGGTGCCTTGCATATTATCATGTTAGAACTGATAAATTAGAACCTTGAGCTAGGAAGGCCATATTTGTAGGATTCAATCGTGGTGTCAAGGGATACAAGCTTTGGGATCCAGTTGATAAGAAGATTGTGCTGAGTAGGGACGTCACGTTTGATGAGGCTTCTATCTTGAAGCTTCCCAGCTCTCATCAGGTAGAGAGCAACCCGACGGAGGAGATATCGCAGGTGGTAGAGATCGATGCAGCTCCATATTGTCCAGATGGTACAGTATCCATGCAGGTGCCGACTGAGGTGACGCCAGGCGAGCACGACGATGACACGGAGGATACAGGTACTAATATGCAGGATCAGGGACCGACGGCTCAGGTTTAGGATTCGATTGCGGTTCGGAGA